GGGGGTTATTCGAGAAGTCCAGGTACAGGGTTACCCCTTCGGAGATTAGTGTTAGGATGGTTGGTGCGGTGGATGGTGGCGTCTGGTTTAAGCGCCATTTTCTTATGTTGGTGCTCTCCACATTGGTTTCTTGTATGTGTAGCGGCTATGCAAACCAGATGTATTGGCATCATTTTGATGATGTGTCTAGCGTGCGTGATTTAAATTGGTGCAAGCTGGTGGTCGACACGTTGGGTGAGACGCAGTCTGCTTGGCGTTCGGGTCGGCATAAGTTCTTTATTGGGCCGGCTGAGTTTGTTACGGTATTCTTGGTGTAATTTTTTCTGTTTGGTGATTTCTGTTTTGTTCTTTCCCACTATGTCGGTACAATTAATTTTGTCATTATTTTTGGTTCTTTTTTCAGTTGTTTTATGTGGATCGTGTTGTGCATGGTGCGCGCTCTGTCCCCCGGTGTATTCCTGGTCTGCGCGGTTGGTCTTCACGTTTACTTCATGAACGGGAATTTTCCGAGATTCTTGGTGGCGGGTTTGGCCTTGGTATGATTGAGCCCCCCATGCTCAATCCGTCTTCAGATGCAGTTGATTATGGGCCAAAGGTATGGGTTTTGTTGGTAGGCATTCATTTATGTTTATGTTCTAGGGGTGCACACGGGCAAGTGGTGTTTGTGTGTGTCTTTATGGGTGGGTTTTATTTAATGTGTCATCCTCTTTTGTTGGGTTAGACATTCGCAGATGTTGTATTAGAAAGATCAAGGTTGTTTTCAAGAGATATTTTAGAGTTGGCAAAGCAGGGTCCCGTTGGTGCTTTTGATGGCGGGTTGCTTCGACAGGTGTTTGAGGTTGTAAAGGCTGTTAGAGAGGTGCGTTCTGATGAGCAGCCCGTTGTTTTTAATGATATTCCATCCTTTAGTCTAGGTATTACGCAAGATTTTCCTGATCGTGAGGGGGCTGATATTGGGGATGTGGTTCGTGGTTTGACTCCGGCCAATACTGGTCGTCCTTTTTCTGGTGTTGAGGTCAGTTTTGTTGGGTTACTTGTGTGCGTTCACATTGGTTTTGGTTTTGTTGGGGTATAACTCATTACTTTTTTTTTTCACTCTATTCCTATTTGCTAGGGTGGTCCGATCCAAGAGCATGGTGGTGGCGATTCCATTGTGTGTGATATTGGGGCTCAGGGTGCTTGCCCGGGGGGTTCAGAGTTACCTGTGCATGTTGATGCTCCGTTATCTACGCCGGTTGAGCATGGTTTGGTATGTTTGTGTATAGAGGAATGAGATTTAAATTGGTATAAATGGATGGATTTGATGTGTGCATTCTTTTCATTGGGGGTTTTTTTTTTTTTTTCAAAAATTCAGTTGCTTTGTTATTTGTTTATAGTAGGTGTGGGCATGCTTGCGAATTAATGGATGCATTTGCTGTATAAAGTTGTGTGGGTTGTTGTGTAGTAATGTTTTTGATGCGTGCGTGGATGTGTATAAATAGATGCACTCGCTGCAATTTTTGTCTGCTCAGTTTAAGTAGGTGGCAATTTTTTAGTTTGAATTCAAGACTTGGGTGTTGGTGCTGTCACTTCTCATGGTTAGCTATATACTCATAGTTGGTGTGATGGATTGAGCTTTTATGTGTGGGTGTGGGTGTGTATAAATGGTTGCACTTGCTTGCACTTATGGGTGCGTAGTTTAGGTGAGTGGCATGGTGTAATTTAAATTCAGGACTTGGTTGTTGATGCTCACACTTCTTTCTGTGCAGCCATCTGTTCGTGGGGGTGAGCCTAGCCGGTGTCGGTCTAACGGGCGTATTTGTCAAGCCCCTGTCAAACGGTCTAGGGGTGTTACTATCCCGCCGGATGCTTTGCCTTTGCAGTTGTCAAATCTGGATCTTGGGTTTCCACCTTTAGGCAATCCAGAGGAGTCGGTTATTTGCAACTGATTGTTGTGTGCAGCTGAGGGGGACATGTTAGTTTCTGGAACCATTTCTTAATAGACATATTGTGTTGGTTATGTGTGTGTGATTGGTGTGTTTTTTTTTATTACTTTTGTGTAGGGAGGAGATTTTGGTTGATGTGGGTGGTAGTGTGGCGCGGTGGGCGGACTTGATGTCTTTGGCACCCGGGTCTTTGGTTGAGGTTGGTGTTGTAGACGCATGGGCTTGTCTGTTAAATTGTCGGGAGCGGTATAAGGAACCGAATGCCCCTTCTCGTTTTTTTGCCTCCACTCTTTCCACTGTTTGTAATTGCATCTTTTTGTGGTATGATAGTTTGACATGTTTAGGTGTTTTTTTTTTTTTTTTTTTTTTTTTTTTGTGCTAATTTTACTCTTTTTGAAGCTTCATACTGTCGTGGATACCTCCCTTGATCGGGATAAGCGGTTTGCGTTGTTCAAGGATAGGCTGCACGAGGAGTTTCAAGCGACGCCATATCGTTACATTTCTGAAGTTGATTTGGTATGAATTTTTTTGTTGTTCATGGCTTCTAGACTGCTTGTCCTTCATATTCTGTGTGCATAGGGATTGAGTTTTGTGTCTGTCATTTTGGTTTTAAGGTGGTGCGTCGGTGTTTTTTTGCAGTTTATGTTCCCCATTCTACGTCAGAAACATTACTTCCTTATATGCGTTGATTTTCGAAAATTCCGGTGTGAGATAATTGACAATTCGACTCTTCAGCCTAATACGAAGCTGAAATATGGGGATTGCCCAGAGGATTTGGTATGTCATATATTTTGCACAGTTTGGTACTTTTTTTCCTCTTTGCGCTTTTCGGTTTTTGATGTCTGCAATCTGGGGTGTCTTACAGTTGGGCATGCTAATGGAATTCTTTAGCACTATTCATCCGGGGAGGTCTTCGATGTGTGCGTGTTTGGAGCCAAAGCGTATGCAGATGAGTTGGCAGGATGGGAAGAATACGGTTGACTGCGGGGTCTATATCATGCGTCATATGGAGTCTTACATGGGGTAGGGAATGGCCAGATGGAGGTGTGGGCTTAGAAAAGGTAACGTTGGTCAGCTCAAGAAGTTAAGGTTATGCTACATGAAGGAAATCGCAACATCAGAGTTCAATTTACTAAAGTCTGTGAATGTTGTTCGGGCGTATAAGTTTGTGACATTGATCCCGTAGGTCCGTGTCTTTGGTGTCTTTAGTTTAATTGATATTAGTTCGTTGTTTTTGCCGTGGTATGCGTACCTTTTTGGGGTTTTTATGTAGCTACCATTGTTACTGTGTATGGGGGATTAAGCCGGTATTTAGTTTGTTGGGTTCTCATTCTTTTTGCTAAGTAAGGGCTGCACCTGTGTAACCTCATGACGTTTGTTTATTCGCAGTTGGTTGTTTGTTTATTAGTGTCAAAATTATGTTATTAATTGCTTCTTGTTTAATTATATTTTGGTATCTCATTTGCTGGTGGGTTGCAGCTCTGTGTGTGTTTGGATGCACAGTGTTTTAACTTAGGGTGCATAGGTTAATGAGTTATGCTTGGTTCTCTATTCATCTAAAGTACACAGAAGGCAGTAGGTCTATATTATCTAATGTGCGTGTGCAACTATTTAATTATCAAGTCATGGGTAAAAAAAAATGGGATACAATTAAACTCAAACGTGTAGTTTACTATTAGCTTATAGGGTTTACTAATTGAAAGTACGTGTGCGCAATGGCGGTTCTAAGTGGGCATATCTGTTCATAATACATTGGGTTTCGTGGGTCCATTTAAATTTAATTGTATACGGCTATTGGTAAATAGGTGGGTGGACCTTGGCGTTAATTAGTGTGCGTTCGCAACGGATTACATGTCAAAAATGTGTTGTGAGTTTAATAAATTTCTCCGTAGTGAGTGTTTTGCTGTTAACTGGCTTACTTATAGAACGAGGGGGGGGGGGGGGGGGTGCACAGTGGTTGGAGACCGGGTGCATAGTGGAACAAATTAACTAGTTGACTATTAACGTGTAGGCTTAGTGCACAACTATTTAATTATAAAGCCATGTGTGAAATGGTATGAAATTAAACTCACCTAAGTAGTTTTCTATTAGCTTGTAGGGTTTTCTAATTGAAAGCGTGTGTGTGAGCTGGCGGTTCGAAGTGTGCATGTCTGTTCGTAGTACATTAGTTTTCATGGGTAAAATTAAAAACAGTCCAGTTGAATTTAATTATATACGGTTATTGTTAAATTTGTGGGTGCACCTTGGGGTTAAATACTGTGCATGTCTGTTCGTAGTACATTGGTTTTCATCGGTAAAATTAAAAATGGTCCAGCTGAATTTAATTATATACGGTTATTGTTAAATTTGTGGGTGCACCTTGGGGTAAAATACTGTGTAGTCGCAACTGAAGGTGGCAAAGATGGGTATGAATTTAATAAAGTTCACCATGGTGAGTATTTGGCTATTAACTCATAGGCGTAGTAATAAAACCTATGGGTGCACAATGATGGTGGACCGGGTGCACAGAAGAAGATATTAACTAGTTTACTATTAGCGCGTGGGCGTAGTGGTAAAACTGTGTGTACACGTTGGTGGTACACAGTGTGCATAGTTGAGCGAATCAAGTAGTTGACTATTACACTGTAGGTTTAGAAATAAAAACTGTTTGCACATTGATGGTAGTTAGTGTGCATAGCTGAACAAACGAACTAGTGATGGATAAAATTCTAATATTTGACAAGTATCTAATTCAACTTTAAATTGTGCTAGAATTCGTAGTATTTTAAACCACTGGAGGCTACTCGTCTGATATGTCTTTTCTTTCTGGACAATTCCGGCTGTCGTGGCCCGGTTGGTCACAAGTAGCACATGTCCTCACCTTTTTCTTCGTTCTTTCCATTGCTTTCTCTTTATTGTTCTTTAATTGTTTCCCGCTGCCCTTGTTTTTTGTAACATTGGGTGGCTTGATTTGGATCTCGGTAGGTGCAGTAGCGTTGACTATTGATTCAATCACTGATTGGTGGCTGGTGCTTGGGTTGGCTTGTTGCTTAGCACTCTTTAACTTCCCGTTTAGCTGCTGCATTGTTGTCAACATTAGAGCCATTTCATTTTCACTTCCATTAGCCAATCCCAAGCAGTTGTAGAATTCATTCCAGAGTTGGTTCGCAATTGATTTGAGTTCGTTCCCCCTTGCGTATTAGGGCTGCCTTTCAACACAATATCATACATTGGCCGTGCACATGCGTCTCTTGTCCATCGGGGAACAATATAGTGTCCTGGTATTTCTTCGATGCCTTTGTCCTTGAAAATTGCCAGCACATGCTTACATAAGATTCCTACTCTGTTGAATTTGTTGCAACTGCATTCTGTTTTGTTGGTAGCTTCTTGGTGTGTTACCTCGTACAGTTTCGCACCTGTTTCGTGTACAACGTACCTCCGGTTCCCGGCCTCAAGTGTCTTATTGGTGATTTTGCATGTGAAACTTCCGGCCCATATTTCTTTTTGGAACTCGTAGAATATGTTGATGGTGTACAATGCCGCTGCTTGGCGTTCCATGCCCAACGGGGTTTTCGGTTCAGGGGTTGAACCTTCACAGTCTGCGTTCAACTTTACCTGGTTATGCCTCTGTTCTTCTATGGCGCGGTTGTATTGCATTATAAACTCGACTAGGCTGCAGTGGTGATTGGTGAATTTGCCGAAATAACTGTTCTCCGATTCTGAACGTGATGTTGTTTTGAGTAGTCCTCCCATGAGTATATCTTGGAAATATGCGGGTATCCATGATGCACGTGCCTCGTACAATTGGTTAAACCACCTGTGCTCAACAAGGTTGTAATCTTGCATTACCTTTGCCCATTTCAATTCAAATTCGGTGGCACTTAAGGTTTCATCCCATACTGCATTGTTTAGGGCCTTTTTAAAGTCGATGTTCTTTGCCAGTGCAGGTCCTGCCTTGTCCCCGACTTTTGACATGATGTGCCACATACAGAACCGGTGTCTCGTTTCTGGCATAATGTTGGGTATTGCGACTTTTAGTGCCAGATCTTGATCTGTAATAGTACATCTTGGTGTATACCCCATCGCGGTTTTGAAGCTTTTTAATAACCACTCATACGACTCCACATCTTCTCTTGCAATGAGGCCCGCTCCAAATGTAATGCTTCGTTTATGGTTGTCCACTCCTGTGAACGGTACAAATACAAGCTTGTATCTGCATGGTGTATATTGTTTCTCAGTTAGTGCACAGACATATAATAGTAAGACAAGCCTCATTTTTTTTTTTTTTGGCCTGCCCGGCAGACATATAATAGTAAAACTGCATGCATGCTGTTGTGCACTCACGAATACATAGGGGTGCACATAAAACATCACAGTGTAATTAAGCATTGATTCGATCGCTTCAATTACCAGGGCTGGTGATCGGATCTCATGGTTTATATTGTGCATACAATGTTTAGTAGATGTGCATGCATGTGTGTTTGAGTACTAACACATACTGGATAACAATTTCATTAAATTCAACTACTTTAATTGGAGTCATATGTACCTGTTCGTGCTGTACGTAGCGTCGAATGACATCACGTCGCCAAAACATGCAAAATTCTTCCGTGATATTGCGTCAGCCCAAAACAACCGGCATAGTTGTCTATCTTCGTTTAGATCAAAATCGAAGTAGAAGTCTGGGTTGGCCTCTTTATTTTTGTACATGTCTTCTACCACCATTTGTGCATCTGCTCCAGCAATATACGCCAACAAATCCCTTCTGAAGTTGCAGAAATCCGTGGATGTTGCCCCTATATCAGTAAAACTTCCTACCATTTCTTTGTATAGTCTCCAAGATTTGGTAGAACCAATGTTTGCCCTTGCACAGTTTGCTAGGAATATTTTATGTCCAATATCCAACTTCCTATTTATTTTCAAGAAGGGTCTCCCAATGTCTGAGCATAGGCAGTGTGTGTGCCATAACTCCACTGCATGGACCGTATAATTGCCGGTCTTACACCTTGTTATCACAATTCGGGCCTTACAACCAACTCTTTTTGACACCCGCTTTCTTTTCTTTGGTTGTGTGGTGTTTACCATGTCGGTGGCTGTGTTACTGCCCTTCTTGGGGGGCTTGAATCCTTCCCGTGAGCATAACATGTATTTTATGTGAACTTTCCATTCCCTATTCATGCGCATTGTTCCTTTTCTGATATCAAAACCGACAGTAATTGCGTATGCCCGGTAGAAGGCTAGTCCGTCTTCTAGTGTTGCAAATTGTTGCCCTTCATACGGGGTGCATTCACTTTTGCAGGTGGGTAACCACCGTTTCGTTCCATCGGGTAATATGATCATTTCACAATCTGTTGCTTCTTCTTCAGTATGCTCTTTGCCTATAAATCAAAGGTGTGTTCCGTAAATATTAGTAGTATTTTTTGGCACTAGTAGCGCTGTTAGAATTGCGTATAATATAAATGTTAGAATCTGTGGGTGCATGCATGTTCAAACTACGGTACGTTGTGTGCATTTGAGACTAATAACGGGTGCACTCTATGAACACAACGCTACATTCCCTTCCATCACCCTTCCTGTAATCAGTCCATGATTTCTAGTACATACAGGAATAAATTATGGATGCAATTCCATCACATATACTACGAGTACATACAGGGTTAAATTATTTACGTCTTTTGACTCCCAAAGTTTTATTCCAGTGCATTCAATTGTTTTTTTCACGGATGAATCGATATGCACAATAATAGGGGTTCAACTTTATGGTGTACTTACCTGGATTGGCGTCATCCATGGAGTCGAAGTTGGCATCATAATTTCGTTGGTCTTCGTCGGCCATGGTGTTTCCTCGCGCGTCCATGGAGTCTGTTTCTCACGTCGATGGGTGCACGGGGGATCAGTTCCGGTTGGGTGGTGTGTTTGTCGTTGCTGATTAACTATTGCATTCCTTGTAGTATTTGAATTCCTTAATTATAGGGTGCCATACGGGTTAGGAGTCGTTTCAGAGTAGGAGGTGTGTGTGCATTGTCAATATTACCCTTATGAATAATAATTAGTAGTCTGCGTCTCCCATCGTAGGCTACATCTCATCCGTTCATCTTATCGCATCCTATGGCTAGTTCTTGTCCACACGTTTGTATTTTAAGAGTGTTTGCATTAGAATGGCACCATATATATATATATATATATATATATATATATATATATATATATATATATATATATATGTGTGTGTGGTGTGTGTGTGTGTGTGTGTGTGTGTGTGTGTGTGTGTGTGTGTGTGTGTGTGTGTGTGTGTGTGTGTGTGTGTGTGTGTGTGTGTGTATAGACTTGTGAACCTATAGAACATCCTCCCTTATTCATACATATTCATATAAATTGTTACAGTCATATTATATACAATAATATCCCTAGCCCCAAAACCATACACATGTACCCTAGCTATGATAATCTTATATGCATCAATGAGTTTGCACTTAGCATGTCCTAACCCTGAAATATCATTCCGTACAAATTACATCACTCTTATATACACATATCCTGAGATAGCCCTAATTCCACATTTCCCCTCGCATGACCTCCCTGTTACCACCCCTACCTTCCCTAAGTAATTAAAAACTTTAGCCTCATCATCAGGTCACCAATTGATTTAGGAATTAGCAATCAAGAGTCTTCAATTCTAAATTGTTTAGGTATTCTGGGCTTCTAAAGGTAAGACTTATGCCTACTTAAAATTTATTTACCACCGAGATAAAAATAATTTTCCTAAGTAATTGTGTGATCAAATTCTGTCAAGACTTCTCAAGATAAACCTTTTAGTATCTGAGAACCTATGCTATTTTACTCATAATTATTAAAAAATATTTGTATACGAATTGCATGTTCCAATTATAGGTGAAAATTTATATTTTCGCATGTAATGCACATAGCTCGCACGTTTATGTCAAGACACACACTCACACACATTCATATATATATATATATATATATATATATATATATATATATATATATATATATATATATACACACACACACACACACACACACACACAAAGCATGTTAAACAAAACTGTATATTATAAGGCATCCCACTATGCATATATGCAATATTATTAATTACAAGCAATCTCTGCATATAATCGCCAATACTTGTTATGTGATTACCCACCATTATCCATGGTATGCAAAATAAAGATACTAAGTCTATTATCTCCCCAGAATCTATTTACCACATAAGAAGTAAGAGCCTTCCTCCTAAACTACTTACAATCTTTTTCTCAAAATTTGATTTTCGCTATTTGGATAATTGTTATATGATTTATGACCTTCCTGGATTTATATGACAATTGTTTGGTTATGTCACGACGTTGAGTACATGAATTTAATTGTTAATCATGCATTAGTTTAACACGTTGAATAATACATACATGTGTTTTATGATTTCTATAGGGCTAGTTATTATTTAAAGACTAGAAACATGTTCACATACCTTCATACTCTATGCCTATAGACTTAAGGAGTTGCATATTTAGCATAATTACGACTGTATACATATAGGCACGACAACTTGCAGGTCCCACATATAACATGATAGTTAATTATCATACATGTTAGGCTTGCTACTCTATAACTGTGGGTATTGAGTATAACTTGTTTAGCACAATAATTAGGTAGCACTACAAAAAAAAAGCCAAAATAACGACGGATTTAGCGACGGACTACTTCCGTTGCTAATCTAACGACGATTTAGCGACGACTTTGTGACAGATTTTATTTATTTTTGGTTAAATAGATATTTAGAGACGGTTTAGCGACGGAAAATTGTTGTCGTTAAATCCGTAGCTAATATTAGCGGTAAATATTGGTGCAAAAATTAGAGACAAAGTTGCGACGGATTAGCGACGGAAATTTCACGGGATAATTTCTTAATTATAATAGCTACAGATTAGCGATTGATATCCATATCCGTCGCTAAATTTCCAAGCGGGGTTAGTTTGTGCTTACATAGTAGCGACGGATCATCATGTCCGTCGCTATATTTACATGTGAGATTTATTGAGTTTACATTTTAGCGATGAATTATCAATTCCGTCGCTAGACTTATCATCCGGATTTTTTTTTATCATTTTAATATTTTAAACATTCTAGCAACGGATATCAAATCCCTCGCTAGTTAGCAACGGAAATTCGTCTCAGTCGCTAGAAGATACAAGCTAGAGACAGATTAAGCTTTAAAAAAAAAAAAATTAACCACGGAATTTGGAACCGTCGCTATCTAGCGAGGGAAACTCAAAACCGTCGCTAACATTAATACACCGTATTACACATCTGCCTAACCCTAACTAGTCGACTCAGTTCTTCCGCAAATTATGCCATGGAATCGTGTTCAACGAGAATGGTGAACACAAGGCAAAACGACGTCGTTTTTAGGAAAAAAAAAAAATTTCGCAGATGTGGAGTTAACGGCGCGCGTTTGATCAAATTATGAATTTTCTGTTATGAGATTATGAATTTTATGAAAATTCATAATCTCATAACAGAAAATTCATAATCACATAACAGAAAATTCATAATCTCACAACTGAAAATTCATAATCTCATAACAGAAAATTCATAATCTTATAACAGAAAATTCATAATCTCATGGTTCCAAAGTGAATGTGTAGGCATGGTTCCAAAGTGAATGTGCAGGCATGGTTCCAAAGTGAATGTGCAGGCATGGATTCATAATTTATGAATGTCCGTGATTTCGGACGGGAATATGTAGGCATGGTTCCAAAGTGAATGTGCAGGCATGAATTCATAATTTATGAATGTCCGAAATTATGAATGTAATGAAAATTCATAATCTCATAACAGAAAATTCATAATTGCATAACAGAAAATTCATAATCTCATAACAGAAAATTCATAATCTCATAACAGAAAATTCATAATCTCATGGTTCCAAAGTGAATGTGTAGGCATGGTTCCAAAGTGAATGTGCATGCATGGATTCATAATTTATGAATGTCCGTGATTTCGGACGGGAATGTGTAGGCATGGTTCCAAAGTGAATGTGCAGGCATGAATTCATAATTTATGAATGTCCGAAATCTTTGTTCACCTCAAATTAAAGTAAAACCGCAAAATGTGAAAATAAAGAAAAAAAGTCACGTAATTAATTAAGAAAAAAAAAAGAAGAAGATAATGGTGTACTAACACCGTTGAATGGTGAACACGGTTCCATGGCATAACGTCCTTCTCTCCCCTAACACTCAAACATTTTTCTCTTGCCGACGACGCGCAACTGAGACGATGTTGACAATCGCTTCCCCTGCCGCCTTCTCCGCCCACCGCCAACAACCGCTATTTTACTCTGACCGCAACAGAGACGGCGCTGCTTCTCTGCCAGAGTATCCTTCCGTCCATCACTTCCCCTGCAACCGAGACGGCGCTGCTTCTCTGCCGGAGTATCCTTCCGATCCTCATTTCCCCTGCCGCCTACGCCAACAGCCGGTATGTATTTCACTATTTTGTGAGTTTTTAAATTTTTTGATTTGGGTGTTTGCGGCTGTAGAATGATTATGCGATTCTGTAGCAGCTGTATGATGATTATAGGATTTTGTGATTACAGGATGAATGTAGGATAACTATATTATGCGATTGGTACGAAATTTTCATGAAATCTGGATATCAATGGGATCATTGCCTTTATTTGTGATTATAGTCTTTATTTTCATGAAATCTGGATGTAGGATGAATGTTAGTTGGATTATTGCAGAAAAAAAGAAAAAAGAAAAAAGAAATACATAATGGCGGTGGCCTCTGTAGTTTCTTTTGGTTGGTTTCTGTGTATATGTTGTTGTTGATAGATTTGTACATGTGGGTTTGGCCATCCTCAAAGTGTTTTCTTGAAGCAAGCTGCAGATTGGAGGTGACATTTTAGGGTATAGTAGTGATTCTATATATGCTTGTCTTGATGTATGTGAAAAAGATGACTTGTTGTGTCATACAAGGTTAATGTAAGTAGCAAGTCTTTAGTAGGAGATTAATGTGTGGTTTTGATGATTTTTGCCATTTTTCTAGCTTATTAAAGATTATCAGTTAACA